ATTTTAATGACTAATTTATTAATTCACAAGCTCTCTCATTAGTGCATGAATAAAAACGTATTAGTGACACAGACGTGGTCACATACTGAGCCTGTCTATATAGATTAAGAATTTTTGTTTAACTAAACTGGCTGCTTTAAGGTTAAGGTTGGTCAAGACTGAAATATGTCAACAGCATGATTGACGATCATTTTATACAGAAACTCATGGTCCCCATAGGATGAAGCCTTCTGATTTTAATGATCCCCTGATATTTCCTCTACACTGCAACAATGAAGAAAACTATTTTGTTTATTAGTAATAATGAAAAGGTCTCTGCCACAAAGTGTGGATGCTGCTTAGGTTTGCTCAGTGTTTTTTTCTGATTGCTTAAAGGTGGGGTAGGTAATTTCGGAGAAACCAGCTCGAGTGCGTAGAATTTGAAAATACACAACCGGAGAAAATCTGCCACTTCCTTATAGAGCCCCTCCTCCAACACACACGAACGCGCACATGACCAATGAGGGCACGAGATAAGTTTGTGCACAGATGGAAGGCTGACAGGCAGGTAGGCCATCCAGTTATGATTGGTCGTACTTTTTACAGTACTACGGCTTCCACAGATGACATTTTTTTATGGATTTTTTGTCAAAGCACTTAAGATATTCATTGCTATCGGGATGTTAAGAGCATTCCATGGAATATAATAAAAAGTGTATCTCGAGCAGGTTTCTCAAACTTATCTACCCCACCTTTAAGATCATGACATCCGATGACTGAAATCCTTCGTTTACTTAAAATATATAGTGAAAACGCTAAACAACAAATACATGTATGGTAAAAATGTATCTGAACCCTAGATACAAGTTAATTTATAATAACTATGGGCAAACCACAATGACGTTCGAACAAAAGTTTTAGCCACCATTACAGATGATAATTAATATTATTCAAAGAAATATATAACATAGGTATAGTTGTTTTAATGTGGAAATGTTACATATAATATGTTTTACCCACACAACTGTTGGATGGTTAGGCTATATTTTCCTTAACATCATTTTAAACACATTTTTCAATGTAATACTAGATATTAAACATAGTCTGATAAAAACAATGTCCCTGTGTCAAGGTGTTGCACTGCAGCTTTAAAGAGTTTATGCCCTGCCCTGAATGTTTCCCATAATAATTGCTATCATATACACACATAATGGCTTAGTGAATGTAATATGACATAAGGCAGCTCTGTCATGATTCATTGAAAACAAGTGTTTCTTTCTTAATGACCTTTAACCTGGTCCACTCAAAATGCCATGTTGCATATTCATCTCCTGCACCTTGCTAACCTTCTGCAACCTCTGTCACTGATGTTATAATTGATCATGACAGGGGGTTAAAACAATGCCATGGCACATTTACAGACAATATATCACCCACCCAGTGTCTGACTCTTAACATCTCTACTGGCTTGACACCCTGATACTTGGACCATGACAGTTCTTTCATTGATTTCGGGAAAAAACTCAGATTCAAATGAAAGGGGGGTGTATCAACGTTGAAATGCTTTCTATTTTGAGTGGCTTTACTACATTATTCTGACATTTTTCCAAACATGTTCTCAGATACAAGTTTCCAATTCTGCGGGTATTTGAATCTTCACCTTGATATTAGCATGCAGTGCCTAAAGACGTCGCTACATTTAAGCATAAGCTGGCTTGGCAGGATCCTTTTGGCTCCACTTTCCCTCCATACTCTCTCACCGACTTCTACATTCCTGCCTGGCTGTGAGAAGAAGGAGGCTTGGAAGGAGGCCAGTATTTGTTTTACTTTGCCGCTGTGTTTCCACCCTCCCTTTTTTTAGAAATGCACCCTGGGTTCTTTTTGTGAATCACCCGGCAACAGGCACATCACTTTGTCTCCATCTTTACACTGCGAGCGGAAACGTTGCACCGAGGCTCTTCTGGAGAGGCCTAGCAGCGTCCTACCTGACTGACTTACCAATGAAGAGCCAGACACATCCTATTGGCCTGCAGTGTTCCACATAACTGATCCTGACAACAGTCCCTCCCTCTCCCAACTAGCCGAAAAGAACAGAGGCTTTTAGGATTAAGAGACATGGAAAAGCTACAGTACAGGGCTCCGTCTGTCTGTTTGTTTATTTGTTTGTCAGTGTGTCTTTCCGTTTACCTCTCACTCATTATCATATGCCCAAACACACATTGATTTCCATAAGCTCTGAAGTGCTGTGCCAACATACAGCAATGTAAAAAGAAATGTTAGCTTAAGTAGCATATAGTAAAAAACCCTGTCTCAAGAACATATGGATTCATTTTTCAATCAAATAGTTGTACTTTTGGATGTCCTTATATATTATAGTATATTGATGGTATTATTAGGAAGGCTGAGTGACTGCATAACACTACAGGCTTGTTTTTAGAGATGTGTTTTAATTTAAAGCTGCAATGGTTACAGTATACGGATGAAAATGTAAGTTAACTTTGTTTGTCCAGGCCGATATTTTAACAACTTTTGGAAGGATTGATATCAAATTTGGGGCAGATATTCATGGTCCTCGGACGATGAATCCCCTGACTTTCTCTATAGCACCACCATGAGGTTGGTTTGGGAAAAATGGCTTATCAATTTAAAAGATAACCATGCCCTCCCTATGTGAACATGTCGACACGACATTTTAAACTTTTCAAAGAGTTCCATCGTCTGGTCAATGATATAGTATGCCCAATACTCAGGGCTGCCCCTGGCCAACTTGTGGCCCCACACAAAATTGTGTGATGAGGCTCCCCGGGACTGTACACAAGTCTTCACTCATGTGTCGCGAGCGTTGACAGGGGGTGGTGCTAATGGAGCACGCTCGTGAACTGTTAGCGCCGGAGCCTCGCAGCGGGGAAACTGTGGCGCGCATAATTGCGCCGCATTTGCGCATAAATTGAGGCCCCCCACGCAGCCTGCGTGACCTGCGTGTAGGGAGGGCCGGCCCTGCCAATACTTTTAGTTTATGACCAAATATCAGCCAAACGAATTACATTTCTATGAACAGTTGAGTTTATTGCTGATTAGCAAATGATAGCATGCTAGCATGTTAAACTAAGATGGTGAACATACTCATGATTATATCTGCATGCAGCATGTTAGCATTGTTATTGTGAGCATGTTGTTTTGACAAGTCTCTCCTCATAGCTTTGTGTGTCAGTTCACACGTATCCAGTGCATCAATATCAAAATGTTTTTACATTGATTCAATTCCCGCTTGAGTTTAAGTTTTCTAAGAGATACAAGTGGGTTGCTGTGATGAGTGCTGTTATTCGTAGTTGCACATAAAGAGCCTCAGCATCTGCCAAGCCTCATAGAAATACTGAAAGTGATAGACAACATATTTCTAAAAGGCTCTGTAAATACGCCTGCATTGTAAAATGCATCCATCATCATCATCATCATCACTGTCATCATCATCATCTGTATCGCCATTTTGTCTTTCTCACATGAGCAATAATCTGCTCTACTGTTAAAAGCATCACTTTTGTCCCCTATGTCTGAGCGGTGAAACTGACAGGGGGCCAGCTGTCTGCCTGTGTGTTTGCCTGTGCTCTACTCTCTATCACTACCACCTCCTTCTGTAATTACAAGCTTCACTGCACACAGGCTCACAATCAGGTGGGGCGAGGGCCACAAGCGCAGCTCCACCAGCTCTCATCACTGTGGCATTTTGAATTCCTCTCGTGTGAGAGCTGCAGGCCAACGGGAGGCTTTTTGCACATCTGAGGAGCCACAGCCTGCAGGCCAATCACCCTGTTGGGATTAAAAATGATACATTTTGTTTGGTATCAGAAGGTTAGCTCACCCCTCATTGGTTCACCATCTGGGCGTTATTTCCTTCCCTCTCAGCGGTGTGGCTTCTCTGTTGCACTGTATTAGCACCGCAGCGCCTACAGTATGGCGGCCGGAGACAAAAAAGAAGAAAAGACGCGAAGGAAAGATTAGGGCAGATGAGCACAGGGTGGTAGCAAAGGCAGCGAGCCGTGAGATGAATGGGGATGGTGTAGGAGCAAGAAAAGGAGGAGAAATTAAGTAAATGTATGGATAAACATGGAATTTGTAAAAGTAGATTCTTGACACACTCCAGATTTGCATGCATCCATAACGGATACATAATCCATGACATGATGCAACTTTACATTCAATAGAAGTTTATATGGCCACAAACAAAAAAAAGGCAGGAAGATGTGTCACCTGACAGCTTTGCGCTTTGTAACACATTTCAAACACCTTCACAGTTTATATCAATCAAGAGTTTGTCAGATATAGATTTTCTTTTAATATTAACACTGCTTTGATTCTGACTACTTTTCACAAGTCAAACTTTAACTGTTAAAGCCTCTGAGAGTCTAATCTCCCAGTGAGACACTTATAATTTATCTGGATGTGGGAGTTAAAGTCTGCTTTAAGACTGCTCATTTGGGATGTTCCACAAGGGTATTTCATTTTGGAAGACAGCTGGCTAAGAAGATTATAAGCAGAGTTTTCAATTTATCTCACACACCCTGACTCCCTTTATTGGCTGGGGCCCTCTTATCATGTTTTGCCAGGAGCAAGAGCAGCCATTGGCATCTTCCTATTTGTTACTTTGGAGTGGCTGCATTTGATGCTGCATTACACTTCTCACGTTTGCTCAGATTGAGGCCTTTTTACACATTCTGTCTCATGTCAATCTCCGAAAAGTTGGATGAATGGAAGTTTAGAAAATGAAAACAGTGAACAAGTGTCCCTTAAGTGTTATTTGTGACAACTTCTTTCATTTCTAATCTATTTATCATGTTATTATGTTTGGTTATTATGTATCAACTGGCCCCTGAGTGAGGCAGAAAGGGTGAATGAGAGAGAGAGAGAGAGGGAGAGAGAGTGAAAGAAAGAGAGAACTTGCTGATGTAAAAAAGAAAAAAAGCTTCAGGAGTTAGGATATAAAACCTTGAGACAAGAGGATGCTCCTCTCTCAAACCCGCTGCCATCTCAGTGGTGGAAATGTTTGAGTTGGGGAGGGTCGACTTTGAGGTGACATTGACGCTATGTAGATGAGAGTGAGGATCCTGCGCTCCATGTTACGTCCCTGCTCGCTTCAACTCAGACGGCGGCAGCTCCTTTCCCCGTCTTCTCTCCCCTCCTCTCTTTCAGCACCACTCCTTTCAGGACAGCACCTCGCTCTCAAAGACGCATTTGTTCACCATCTTCACCTCTCAGGATCATACTTTTGCTCTCTGTCGTCGGATGCAAAGTTTTCACCTGGGTTTTATTCGGTAAAAGTGCAAGGAAGTAACTTTTTCTGAAATTTGGATTTTCCCATCGGGGAAAAAATCTGGAAAATTAAGTCATTTTATTGTAAGTATTCTGTCACACATAATGCATCTTATTAAAATCACCTATGCATTTGCGTTTGTTTACATACTTATTACAAACAGAGACCATTGTTGAATTTGGCATTATGCAGATGCACCAAATCTGGCAATGTCCAACGATGTGCGACCCAGTTCACTTAATGGCGACGCAACAGACTCGTCTCATGAGGGTCATTACCGTATTTGATACTTATATCCTGCTAGACAATGTTCAAAATATGTCAAATTAAAATGTGTAATCTGGTTAGGAAAAGAATGCGCACATATTTGTTTGTTCACTTAATCCCCATTTGTCTCAAGGGGGTGCGTCTCTTTGAAGTGAAGTGTTACACTGACGTGTGATATTTCATAGAAATAGCTTATTTTGCGAAGAAATCATCAAAAAATGTGGGTTCCTTGTTGCCTGATAAGGCTTTTTACAATTACGCACGCACGAAATGGAGTGCGCGTTTATATTTCATTCGTTTAACTATCTTTTTACAAAGTTAAAATAAATTCGGACTAATAACATATTTATTTGATTCACAAACGTGTTTAAATCATGTTGTGTTAAAACGGTAGCAATGTATTTTGCATTGCTGATAAATAAGTAAATAAGTATAACATATTTTAACCCTGTCCTGCAGATATATGAATGAAATGTCTATTGAAAAGCTCCAGTGAGTTATTAGCCTCTCCAGGTGATTCATTAGACATTATCGTCGAGCCTGACTCCTAAATGTGTTTAATTGCTCTGCTCTTGTACCGGAGCTTTAGAAGTGGGCCATTGAATTTAAAGCATAATGACCCAAGGACAAGAGCAGCCTCTAAATTTCTGCTAACATGCATTCACTCCAGGCAATTAAAAGTGACTTTATTGCATGAGAAGTCTTTATTTGATCCCGTGGGGTTCACGGTTCGTGGGGCACATTTTTTTTTCTTTACCCCTGAAGAAATGTCATGCAATTACAATGGATGCATACATTAAAATGGTTTTAAATGATATTTTACTACTAATGTAAAACTTGTTTTGCAGCACCGGGCAGCACAATTCTCCCCTTGATAATCAAATTTGTCACGTGTTTATTTTCAAATATATTTTTCCTTCCACAAAACCAGTCATTGCTCAGCGAATGGGAAAAGTAATTCCACCTTCATTAGACTTGATATAATGTTTATAAGATGTTGATGTCCCAAACAACTTGGCAGAATGACGTGTACATCAAGAAAAACACATCTTATTGTTTCAGTAATTATTTTGTATTTATATTTATGCATATTTAATTTCTTTTTCAGGGTCGCTGGACCGCTGCTAAACTGCTGCTCATCACTCTCTTTAGCCCGATTTTTCGTCTCCGCTCGGCTCGTATCTAGGAGCTGGGTGTAAGCTACAGGACGGAGAAGCTGCTGCTGCCTGGACAGGTTCGGAAACCCCCTCCTCTCCACTGGTGAGGACTATCCAACACTCGCAGTGACCATGGCCACCAACGGGACCAAAGCCACGGACGGACACGTCTTAACAGAGATGGCGAATGACGCGCCCACCACAACGCCAAACGACAAACCCAAAACCTTGGTGGTGAAAGTGCAGAAGACGCAAAAGGAGTTACCTGAGAGAGAAACGTGGGGAGGGAGATTTGACTTTCTTCTCTCATGTGTGGGATACGCAATCGGACTCGGAAATGTCTGGAGATTTCCTTATTTATGTGGAAAAAACGGAGGAGGTAATCAGGAATTCTTGGCAATTTTCCATTTATCCATAATTCAAAAGGAGTTAAAATGTCTCAACAACAAAACCTGCGATTTTGCTCCCGGAGGTTTTTGATTAAAATAAAGCTAAGTGTATTTCTGTCCATCTAAACCGTGCGTAATTATTGCGCACAAGAGAAACCTCTACGATGATCTGCAGCGCAGTTTTACACGTTTTAGAAAATATATAATCTGGAGCATGTTGAATGTTAATAGTTTATCACCTTCATTTACACACCTTTACCTCCCACTTCTCATTCAGGGGCCTTCTTGATTCCCTACTTTTTGACCCTCATATTTGCCGGCATGCCCCTGTTCTTTCTGGAGACGGCTCTTGGTCAATACACTTCTATTGGAGGGCTTGGAGTGTGGAAGCTGGCCCCCGTGTTCAAAGGTAAAATACCCTTTAAATAATACAGATATATTATTTGTATGTTCACTGGCTAATTTATGAAGACCAGGTCGTTTAACTGTCAAATTCAAGTCAAATTCAAAATAAAAACGTTACATATTCATTATTATCCTAGTTTTATGCCAACACAAATATTCAGCCAGTTTAACATCATGCCTGTACTCTCCATTGTTTTAGGTGTGGGTATGGCTGCTGCAGTCTTGTCCTTCTGGTTGAATATCTATTACATTGTAATAATTTCCTGGGCAATTTACTATCTGTACAACTCCTTCACTACCGTGAGTACTTGCAATTTATATTCATGCTGGTCCCTTGTTAAAAAAACCTGAGGATATGACTTGAAAATTACCTTGAAAATGTAGGCTAAATGTAGTTACCTTGATTCCTACTGAGAAATATTTCACAAAAGTGTCCATACATGTTTTCTTGTTTTTCTTCTTCCCTTTATGCGCAGGTTGTATTTTTTACATAGTAACCATTTTAGGTATGTGGCAAGTTCTTTATGCCAGCACCTCTTATACAAGGGTGAACAGCCTCTAACAGAGTATGACATTTATTACTTCCTTTCCCACATAATTAGCCCTTACACAAGGTATTGATAAATGCATTTGGCGATGAAGCATTCACTATTCTAAGAAAAGCATGAAATCTCAATGAGTATCATGGTCTTGGCTGCCCGACAGCCAGAGAGAATGGGACCCGGCGGTGGGAGAGTAGTGAAAGTAAAAAGAGCTGTCTGTGTGATTTTTCTCCCTTTTTTTCCTTTAAATTTCAGGAGCTGCCATGGCAGTCTTGTGGAAATGCCTGGAACACAGAGCGCTGCTACAACAACTACAGCATCGCAGACACCAAAAACCTTACCAGCTCTGTGGTGGAGTTTTGGGAGTAAGCTGAACATTAGAATCTGTTTAGATCACAAGGATACGGCTCTGTTGTGAAAAGATTCAGGCGACAAAGAAAGGTCATGGCCCCTTATGTGCATAATGAAGATCAGGGTCGGAGATTTATAGGGCCTTTTGGATCTGAGAATCCAATGGTTCCCTAAATCCTTTTATTATTCATCTTTCCAGATGTTTTTGTAATAGAAAGAACATTTTGCACTTAAAAAAAGGGCCTCAAACCAACCCTAGGAAAAAAATGTTTAAAAGAGCAACAACTGCGTGTAGATGAGCATGCATGCAAGCAGGACTTCCCTTGACGGAGAGGCCTTAAAAAAAGCTTTAGGGGTGGGGTAAGAAAGACAGGAAGAGGGCTTTTTGTGAGGATCCAGACACGTGTGTCCATATTTGTGTGTGCATCCACACGTGCTGCATGTATGAGATCAAGCATGCATTTGTGCGTCGTAGTAAGACCACTTTAACCCTTCCCTGCAGACGTAACATGCACCAGATGACTGATGGCCTGGAGAAACCTGGGGAGATCAGGATCCCGCTGGCTATCACGCTTGCCATTGCATGGGTCCTCGTCTATTTCTGCATCTGGAAGGGGGTCGGCTGGACAGGCAAAGTATGTAAAGGAAAAAGACAAGGACAGAGACAACCAAATATTCATTCCATCTCAAATCGAACCAAATCGAATTTATGCAAAAATTGTCACAATGATATGTTGGTCGATTGTTAAAATGTAGGGGTCACAACTTCTTCAAACTACTTCAGGATAAATAAAAATGTAAGTTAAATTGACAAATATACAATTTCACATGCAATTTCCCTTTAATCCACAAGTACCTATAGACTGCTATAAAGCCATTATCTTCCCTCAGAACAAGAACATTATAAAACATAACATTTATGATTTGACTTTTTCACTTCTTTACATCAATGTTTTTTTTTAACGTAGCAGTTTCAATGACATAATCTTGCGACTTCATTTCTTATGCGGTGGATTTTCACATAAATGATCTGAACTGAGTTGACTTTGAGAGCACAGTGGGAAATGAGTTCAGATAAGGAGGGAAACAGTGCAGAGAGACTGTGCTGAACCCAAGCATTGTGGGGTCATCTCGCCTCCGGGGAATGGCTGACTAGGTCACTGTGCTGCACTGTGCAGTGGGGATGGTGCCACAGTACAGTAACACTCTTCATGATGAGTTGAACAACTTTGTCGTTTTCCCGTCTTCAACAGTTTTGTTGCCTACAGGACAAATATCCCAAGTGAAATAATAGCTGTGTGGTCTAACAAGTAAGTGTTGGCTTTGATAGACATTATTATGTGTTCTAACAATAACTGTGTGTCCTACAGGTGGTGTACTTCTCAGCCACATACCCTTACTTCATGCTGTTCATCCTGTTTTGCCGCGGCATCACTCTACCTGGCGCAATTGATGGGATCCTCTTCTATATCACACCAAACTTTGAAAAACTGAAGGAGTCTGAGGTATGCTCTTCTGTAAAACATTTGTTTGTGTTTGGCAAAGATGTATGTACTGTTTGAGATATAGTATAACATTATAGTAATGATTTCTCATTGTAATAAGTCATTGGTGAATACAGAGTACAATCTTATCCAAACAGGTTCTCAGTGATTGGATATTAATACTAAAAGATCATATCTATAACAATCACTGTTAATTGCATTGACAACTACATGTCCAGGCTAGAGAAACATATAATGTGAATGTCCTGTGAAAGCAATGTATATTTGTATTTATCATGCTGATGCAGGCTTAATATAGAGTATAGAAGAGAGGGCTAAAGACTGCCAGTGGTATTTAGATTGATGCATTTATGTCCAGAAAAAACCCCCATTATGATAGATATTGATTTGTTGATGATGTCCTGGTTTATCTTGTAATGATTGTGTATAAATGACTAGGCCACCTCATTAAAGCTCTAGATGAAAAGGAGATGAAGCTAGAAGAAAGATGTGGAAGGACATGATTAGAGAAGGCAAAGGCTTGCAGAGTTGAGTGAGTCAAGATGGGCTGCAACGAGATCAGAGTGGATCAAATCAGATGGACCAAGTGTAAGAAAACAGCACTTAGGTGTTGACATTTCTCAGAACAAGTATTGCTCCCAGTTCCTGCCGTTCCACCAAAGGTTTACAAGAGATTAAAAGCCTTTGTGCCCATAGCTTGAACAACCCAGCCAGTTCAATTGGTTGGAAATGAGAAACAAGTTAATATTATCCATAAAACCAAGGGAAATCTGTCCATTTTTAAAAACAAAATCTATATTTAACATCAACTTGGCACCAGTTATGTGTCTACAACTGCTTATTTTGACCTCATTTTCCGTATCTTTTTGTGTCAGGTGTGGCTGGATGCTGCCACTCAGATCTTCTTTTCCTACGGGCTGGGATTAGGCTCGCTGATCGCTCTTGGCAGTTACAATCCCTTCAAAAACAACGTGTATAGGTACGTGATTATTATATTTCATTGCAGGTTCACATACCACATCATTTAAATACCTTTATCAAGTCAGTCACTGACACATCTTTTTTTTTAAGGAGACTGCAGATGTGTTTTTCTGGGATTATATATGGTTTCCTGGCAACATTGTGTGTGCTGCACCTTCTAATTTGGGACAATTTGAGCCTCCAGCTGTATTTATCGTTTCATTATTTTGGCTATACGCTCTGTTTTACACTCATAGACACAGACATTAGGTCTGCCTTATCCTCTGTCAAGTCAGATAACCGCTTGCAGCCAAAAAACGTAATATCTATGCTTCCAACTATTTAAAATGTGCTGGAGCTCACTGCCATTTTATAGAACGGGTCAATCTAAATGTACTCAGCTGCTCTGTAACTGCAGGATGCAAAATGGCTCTCCACGGTCCCTTCCCCCCATGCCTCTCGACAATGTGTGACGGGTTGATAAGGAATTGATATAGGCGTGACAATGGCTGCCTTGTGCTTTGTCTCTCCCCTACAGAGATTCTATCATTGTCTGCTGCGTCAACTCCTTCACCAGCATGTTCGCTGGCTTAGTCATCTTCTCCATCGTGGGATTCATGTCCAATGTAACAAACAGACCCATCGCTGATGTGGCAGCCTCAGGTAATTGCAATCAATGTTTAAATTCGATAGCGACAATGGGTACAGGCAAGAGATACTTGCTATTGTGCAGAATTAGCCCTTGAATTGCTTGATATTATTTTTTCCAGTCAAAAAGGGAGGGTTTTATCTTCTCACTATATGACACTTCAGATTTCTGGGTTTATGAGAAAGGAAAATTGCTCAGTGATTTTGCAAAATCTCTGTACTTTGTGAATACTCAAGTTCATCATTTACACTCTGTTTCACACTTTCAAGGACATTTTGGTTTTAGTAATACAGTAAATTAATTGTAAGTATCCATATTGAAAATGGTGGATAACTAAGTTATTGAAAAAGGAACCCAACATTATATTATCTTTTTTTACATTTCGTTTTTGAACACCATCTCTATAACGTTTCTCTATTCTCAGGACCTGGCCTGGCATTTTTGGCTTACCCTGAGGCTGTGACCCAGCTGCCCATTTCTCCTCTCTGGGCCATACTCTTTTTCTCCATGTTGCTGATGCTGGGAATCGACAGCCAGGTATAGATACTCCAACATAATTGGTCTCATTTGTGTTTTTTCTGCATATTTGAATAGCAAAGTGCTGATAGTCCAGCTTCAACCAAGCAATGCAATGACAAATTAAGTAACACAGTTTTAATGCTTACCCAATGTGTCCAGTTCTGCACCGTGGAGGGCTTCATCACTGCACTGGTTGACGAGTTCCCCCACGCTCTCCGAAAACGCAGAGAAATCTTCATCGCAGTCGTCTGCCTTATTTCTTACATCATTGGACTTTCCAACATCACACAGGTAAAGACTTTACCTTTATTTAGTCTGCATTTCTCAGAGAATCCAACAAAAAACTAGTGCTGACCGAGTAACCTGCAATACTCTTAACTCGCCAAGTGTAGTATGGGTAATTTTTAGGAGACCCGGACACTTTGAGAATGAAGTTCCTAGTGTTTCCTGTTTTTGTGCAACATGTGTAAATCTGCAAACATGTAACAACATAAAACAAAGGTTCACAGTAACTACTTCATATCACTTATTAACCTGTTGTCTGCTGGACAAGAGGACAGTGACATGGTCAGTTTGTTTGCATGTCCATTTGTCCATCTGTCCAACACTTTCTTCCAGAGGAAGATGTCAAACACCTTTAAAAGAGATGTATCAATGGTGCTCCTACATTAATTATGTAATGTTTCAGCAGCTACATGGATTAACACTTTGCTCCATGACATGGAATTTGTATGGCTGTATTTCCATAAAATGTGTACATGGTCCATAGAGTACGATTCCTAATGCTTTGACCACTGGACCTTTCGGCAAGAGCCACAATTTCAAATTGATATATTGCTGAACATATTGATGCTCCTCTGAGAATAATCCATGTTCTGCACTTCATTCACTCTCGGTTTCCTAGCATTTGCCGGGATGCACATTAGCATTCAATGATATTTACTTACCCTCAGAAGCAAATAAAATCAAGCAAAAAATGCAAGTTATGAAACCAAAAGTCAGCAAAGAGACTTCTGTCTCGACTTGTGAGCCAAAAATGACATAACCCCTGTAGGCCAAGGTCACGTCTGTCAATGAGACTCAAAGACCCTTTATTACTGCCAAAATGGATATCCATCATTCCACATGCACAGCCCCGTCAAAGGAGGCAGTTTCCCTTATCGCTGCTCTGGGCACTTTAAAATGTATCAAGGTTCACAGAGAATATGAACAGGTCCCTTGAGCTGGTCTCGATAACCATCTGATAGCCAAAAGAGATGGAGGACTGACATGGAATTGTTAAAGGAGACGCCTAATCGAGGTACAACGATCCTGCCTGTTCTGCACAATAACAAAAAAAAAACTTTCCACAAGGAAGTATCCAAGTTTGTCCTCACCAATGAAATGTCACTAATGCTCACCAGCCACAGCCGTCGAGGCTCTCGCCCTTGGTGTTATTCCACTTGGGCGATTTAGTACTGTTCTGCACATCCAGTACTATAATTGCTTCTTCAACATTTACCCCTCCACCTTCATCTATCTTCATCTTCTTTTGTTTTCTCCTTTTAAAGGGTGGACTGTACGTGTTCAAGCTATTTGATTACTACTCAGCTAGTGGAATGTGCCTGCTATTCCTGGTCTTCTTTGAGTGCATCTCCATTTCCTGGTTTTATGGTAAGCCACAACTATGTCTCAGTAATCTCCTTTTCTATCGAACTGAGATCTTGAATTCACACAACACAATAACTAAAACTTTGCTTTATCTGTGGTTCCAGGTGTGAACAACTTCTATGACAATATTGAGGAAATGATTGGCTACAAGCCCTGTATGTGGTGGAAGCTCTGCTGGGTCGTTTTCACTCCACTCATTGTGGCTGTAAGTGTTATCAGTGGTTAACATGCACAAAGTGTAAAGCACCAACAGTGGATACACACCCCATCAAGGACAATAAGCTTATGAAGTCTCGACTAAAGCTGTACATTGCTGTCTTCATGTTTATAACCATGAATTTGGCCTTGATTTGTGAAATGTCAAAAGATGATGATGATGATGATGATGGGTCCTGAGATCTTTCTTTTTACCTCTTGTCTTAGGGAGTCTTCCTGTTCAGTGCAGTGCAGATGGTTCCCCTCACCTTGGGTGACTACGTGTTCCCGGCCTGGGGCCAGGGGGTTGGGTGGTGCATGGCCCTCTCCTCCATGCTCCTCATCCCTGGCTACATGGTCTACATGTTCCTGACAATCAAAGGCACATACAAAGAGGTAAGATTCATGTGGAATTAGTCAAGTTTGCTGTATTTGTCCAGAGGATTTAAATACTACAAAGCAAGTAGAGTTCGAACAAATAGTACACATTTCTGCATCTAAATACAAACGATATACATACACAGGAAGTATTATTAAATATATACTGTATATTTACATATACATATTGAGAGTTTGGTTTAGTGCAGGCAAATATTCTAGATGGATATCCAGGAGGTGTATCCATCACTGCACACGCCTCTCACACATTAGCTGTTTTGAACCTTCAGTCGGCAGCGAGGCAGGCTCGGTGTTAAGAGTTTCAAGTGGATTACTTATGCATGATTTTATGGCTCCAATACATCATTGCATACTGGGTGCAATGCAATACTGCGTTTTGTAAAAGTGTGCTGATACTTTGTGAGGATAACCTAATGTCATTATGCTCTGAAGTCAGTTTCAACCATGAAGGGAAGCTTGAATGAACATTTAAAATCACTGTGTAGATCTTTTAGGACATTCAGCTCAATAATGTTTACCACAATACACTGATCCATTTATATCATCCTCACTGGCATTGACAGTAATACCTTGAATATCATTTAACAGCAAAAAGACTGAATGCTAAAATGCTCAGCTTAGCACAATGTGATTTTGCTGTGCGCATTATAACCCGCACTGTAATGAGCAACACGGCATGCTGGGTAAAGACGTGATAAATTGCCATGAAGAGTAGAACAGTGATAAAAGGATTAGGAAAATGGAGTTTCTAATTAGGTCTGTTAAGAACAATTGCAGATGCCTTTTTGCTACACCAGGCACTGAGTTCTCAGTAAATGACATTCATTTGTATGCAGCAGAATGGTACGCTGCATTTGTATTGATCTGATGATCCTAATCAATGGCACATAATACCTTTTCCGGCATTCCATTTGCATTAAGAGCCTTTTGATTCGCATTGATGCACAATGCGCTGAACAATCACTGAACCTCTATATGGTCCCTAGTGACAGATATAGCTTCATAGCCAGTGCTGGCAGAATAAATGGGCCATAATTGCAGCAGTGCACTAGAGTCTGTCAGAGGCGATGTGCAGGTGTCAGATCCTGCAGTACCAGCTGATGGCTGATTGTCTAATTGTAGCAATCAGCCAGCTGATTAGTGCTCTGCACTCAGGCGGAAGCTTACAAATACAGCATATAAATGATTTCTGTGCTGCAGAATCTCGGGTCCAACATTACCCAGAGTTCAGAACATTTGAAACATTTACCAAGTAAAGGACAGTTTATTTACGTTTTGTGGGCTTGGTAAGTTTCGCCCATTTATGAATTAATAGTGTCAAGAAAATTGGCTTTTAGTGTCCTTTTTAAGCAACACCTCAGGCTGTATTAGTTATTAGTTTAACTGATTTACAGGACCTTTTTGGTCCTCGCTCACTCTGTGTGAAACTTATTATCAATCCTACCTCAAAAAGCCGTTATTGTCTCTACTCCATTATATTGTTTTATTTCTATCTTATTCTGTATGTATTGAAGATTTTACTCCTTACTTGTTTTAAATCATACAGTATGAAAAGAGTTACATACGTCTGATGTATTATTATAATTTATATTATTGTTATTATTATAAAACCACTTATCACATAAAGGAAACAGTATGATACATCTTTACTGAGAGTATCTTGGAGAAAGTTTACACTCAGAGCCAGAGGCGGTGCATCCATCAAGCTCACAGCTGCGTAGCTGGTGTGTTTTGCTACAGCTTCTCGGTTTGATCACAAACTTCGCAGCTGTTTGGTTCCTACTAATGGGGTATGACAGTGTCTCATTGTTATCTTGACACGATCAGTACATCTTTCAGCTGTGTGATATCTGTGCTTTTTTCAGCGTCTGCGGATGATGTTCACGCCTTTGAAGCTGGTGAAGGCTCAGGAAAATGGCCCGGACCAGCAGACAGAAAACCAGAATCAGACCCCTGCCAACGAGGAAGCCTACATCTAGAAACCTCTGCCTGGCTTTATCTCGGCGGCCAGACTGGCGATACGCAGAAAAAACATAATCAAGGTTGGGAACGACCACCAGACTTCCATGTCTGCTTTTATTCACCTACCTCCTGGGGACACGTGAGACCAACCTGATTAAAGTTATTTTTAGGGGTTTTTCTGTTTGTTTATTTGTATAATACAGAGTTATAAAACATATGAGGAAAAACAAACTACTCAGCAAAATTGTTGTGATATTATGAATTTCATTATGCAAAAAAAGTTAGTCTTTCTAGAAAAAGGAAATGTGACTTAGGAAATTATTGTATATTGAATATATAATTTAAATTTGGAGGCCCGCGTTGATTCAATAGTATTGTGCTACTTTGAAGATATTAATTAATCTACTAAACTACAATTACTGTAAAAAGAAAATATTGGTTGAATGCATTTTGCTTGTACATTACAAATACATTAAAAATGAATGCAGTGTAGTAGGTGAAAAAAATGCAATTTGAAAGTTTGTAAAGTGAAAATTGAACATTGACCAACATATGACAAAGACAATATGGGAATGTGCAAGAGGTAAGGCCAAATCTGCTTGTATGTGTAAAATATAATTTAGCCAGACTATCACCCCCTTGCAGGATCCTGCAGTTTGCCTGAAATGTTTACCACCCATGACTGGGGCTACCTTTGAAAAGCACAAGTACAGTATGGAGTTTTGAAGCGTCCAACTTTCTTTTTTTTTAGGCTCGATTGAAACGTTTGACAGCAGCAAAAATAACTTACATAGGATACATAGCAAGAGACTGTTATAATTGTTTCTTTGTTTTCTAAAGAACAATAACTTTGTATGTTGTCTGAATCTTTTTGTAGAATCATTTTTAGGTCGTTTTCTATATGTGAGAGTGAAAAGGACCAAAATCAAACTACGTTTGTAAGATTGGTGCAGACATCTGACCCACTGACTATATACAGTAAATCCATTTCAGTACAGTAGCAAATACAGCATCTGATTAAAAGCACAATTGTGGTGTGTAAACTGCCACTTCTTATGAACAAGATGTAACCAATACAGAAATCTTACATTTGCATTGTGCTTACAATATTTTTGGCTGGGTTCATTTGGAAAAAAATGGATTTTTCTTCTCCTGACAAACTCTTTAAGTAGGAAAGTGTTGTTGCAATAAGCCAATGCTAACTCAGATCTATATTTTAAACTATGAGAATAAATAAACTGCTTTGGCTGCTGGATTGGAGATTAGATGATGGATTTCTATGATGGATACCACTATTGTGACTCCAACGGTTTACCTGTATATCTATTTAGTAACCCCCTCCTCAGGAACAAAGGTGGACGTGACCAAATTCTCTCAGATACTACTATTATACACTGAAACAAAAGCGGCAACAAAACATGAACACATAAACCAGTATAATATATATAAATGTACTTGGGCACTATTGCATGCTGATCCAAATTGTTGCCTCTTTCTGTGTGCTACTCAACTAGCATCATTTCTTTCAGCGTAAATTAACTGTGATGGCCTTCACTCAGTCGTTTTAGTAGAGGCCATAGTGTGTTTCTATCCTGTGGCGAGTGCATATTTAAAATCTCAGAAAAGGAGAGAGAAATATTTGCTCATTCAGAGGACAAAGCTGGCAAAAGCACTGTTACTACAACAGCACATAGCAAAATGCTTTGTACTGTAGGCCAACACCACTGAAACTACTCCTTTTCATTGGGTGAAAAAAACCTATTATTACATATCAAGCTTGATCGGCAATATAGAAACATATATGTAGAAGCTGACTTTAGTGAAAGACCGCAGATATTACTGTATTACTATGAAGGAGGATCAATAAATTGTGCTTCTGTGGCAGCTACATGCGACAGGAATCAGTCCCAGTAATTTCCTTTTATCTATGTTTTGTTTTCTCAAAGATATGTGAAATTTAAAATGTGCAATGACAAAGGGTTCCGTGAGTTTTGTATAAAGTTACCATACTGCAGTTTTCTCTCTTGAATGATGTTGTAAACTGGACTGTGAAATACATGTATCCGTGAATGTCCGTACAACCTGAGTTTTTCTTTCGTTTGTCTAAATGTTGAACAAAAAAAAGTGATATTATTTGCTATTTTCTGCAATAATATTATTATCTCAGAAACTAAAGCACATATCTCTCTCAACTGTAAAAATGATAATTACAATAACATAAGAGTAATAATAAAGATGATAATATTAATAATGATAATAATAATAAAGTAATAGAAATGTTTAGTCAGAGAATATTGTTTTGTATATTTCTAGCTGTTTCATGGGCCTAATGTAAAATATTCTATGTAAAAAATATAATAAATGTCTTTAGATGGTGTTATATGAAAAAGCATGATTGCAATATATGTTATCTGCAAAAATAAATAAAGACCTATAGATTATAATGTCTGTGTCATGTAATCTTTCTAAAGGGAAGAAGGTAATGAGTGTCTCTCCTTTTTGTAATGCTTAAAAAAATCCAATGGGTGAAAATACACAATAGGTTAATTCTGAAAAGTAAAAATACTATTATCCTGTTAAATGCATGATACTGTTTGAAAAACCTCAAGCGCAGACTTAAAAGCTATGGAAATGCTCTTCCAATGTTCTTTCTGCAATGTTGAGTTTTGCACGACACTTGAACAGCAAAGTGTTATGCAAATGCTCGATTTATGATGAATTATGCAATCAGCTGCATTACTGCATGAGATGCTCTGTGTAAACTAAGCTTATAGTTTCAGACAGAATTGTGTTTGTCCTTGTGACACCTGCACTGAAAGCGGTGCCAGCTCAGACACTATAGCTGTCCTGGCTGACAGCCAATCCCCCCCGGTCACAATGCACTCTCCATCTCCTGCTGTTATGCCGCAGATAGCCTACATAACATTGGTTATAATCCAAATAGCCAGATCAGAATGAAGACGTATTTGTTTAAAATAATATATATTGAAAGAAAAAAAATTAAGAAAAACCTGGCATTGCTTATAAGATAAAGGGAAAAGCATGAATTAAATAATGTGTCTCAAAATAGCATGTCTGGATTACATGCTTGTTTAGTTGTTGGAAGGAAGCACAGTAATCTTTAAATATGCTGAGCCTTGTTTTTCTTAACATAAATTCAGATCATAAATTCCCAAGATTCCATTGAAAAGTTACCTTTTCATATTATGTCCCTTTCAATAAAAACGTTTTTATCCGAGTTGAATTCTGAATCTCTGCAATATGAATGCAAAATAAAGTATGTACACCAAGTAGTAATCATGTCAAAAATGTACACCAAACTCAATTTAAAAGAGATTAAAGATTTGAAAATACTAAGATCTCCAACATGGGGAATTATCTTAATTATTAGACAGATTAACATAGAGACGGAGAGACAGCGAGATGGACTGGCAGACAGTCATATATGTGACTTATTCAACGGATGGATATTAAACGTCATAGCAAATACACGTTTTCACATGGGGTTGAAAGTCAGTCGCTCTTGGACCCACCCCTCCACCCCGGCCCTTCTTTGCATGTGATATATATACAGGGTATTCGTTATTGTAGGTATAGCTATGCACAGTGTGTAAGAACAACATGTTAAAACACACCAATTAAGATATGCAAGAAACAGAACTGTATTATCAGCTGACTGCAGCAATCTGTTGAGTCTTCAGGTGAGCAGCAATCTGTTGAGTCTTCAGGTGAGCAGTAGCAGCAGCAGGCTTGTCAAACCAAAAGACTAAGCAGACCAATGACAAGTTAAATACACCCTTTAATACAGTATGTGTTGGCTATATAATGCAGCATGTACTATGTCATGTGAGAGTATAGCAGCGACTCAATTTCAGTGATCCTAATCACGTGGAACAGATTATTATGTGACTGCAGAACATGAAGAGTTTATAATTGGCGTCTTGTCTCTATCATCCCTTGCTACCATATACACGCTCAGCACAGCAGAGATTGGGGAGTGACAATAATAATATCCTTCTAAAAACCACATAAGCCACAGAGCCAAATGCCAGATATTGTGTGGAGTCTTCTATATGTGTGCAGCCATTGCAGCTATTTTACTGAATAAAACAACTGGGTGCTGGTATAGCTCAGTTTTACTTGTCGGCCAGGCACTGTATGAAATTAGGACAACATACGTATGATGATGAAGTAATAGTGAACTGAGATGAAAGTCATGTGAATACAATCACTTTCAGCAAATATTAACTATACAAATACAGCGTATGACCATGTTAATGAATGACCTTCTTACAGGTAATTTCCTAAATCTGAGACATTTTAAATGACTGCCTGTTTGGTACCACAACATGTAGTAATGTGTTTGCTCAGATCCGTGTCTCTTCTTTGTCTCAGGTGTTGGTATGTAAGCATCTCTTTGTTTTGAGGGTTAATTATTCATAAGCACTGAAAACCACAGGTGCAAGTGTCTGTATGTTTGAGCTTGCGTGTGTGAGAGCGCAAGAGAACAATTTAGAAAGAGAGAGAAGGTTGTTTCATACCTGTTTAGTTGTACTGTGGTGAGGATGACTGTGTGTTTTTGAGCATGTGTGAGTCTGTGAGCATGCATGCATGTGATTCAGCGTGTCCTTGTGAGTATGCATTGATACATAAGTCTGCTCATCTGAACATGCTGCGGTAGTAGGAGTGTTAGTTGTGGTGATGACACAGACGTGAGCGGAGCTGCTCTGACAGCTCCAGTCTAGCAGAGGTAGTAGCAGCTCAGAAGTCAGCTCGAGGGCCCCAACAACACACACACTGTGGAAATGGTAATCTGTTTTCCTTCCCTGCCAGCTTGGCCAAGGCCCCCAGTTGCATGCACGCTCTCCAACCGCATCACAATCATTGGCCGCTGACATGCGCAGCACGATGGGGCAAAAAAAGGATTGAAAAAAATCCTCTGTTTACTCGTTTTATAGCTGCAAGGCAGTATTTTCCCCAGTTGTTTCATGTGAAGGATGCGGTGAGGTTATGTAATTGATTTAGCAATAGGAGACAGCTTTTGGTAGTGGATGGGTATATTAATTGGAGTTTTAGGGGTAAAACTCAGTTTAAACTGCGACCTTGACCAACCAAATACTACTGCCATGTTAAAGAAATATACATTTTTCAACAGTTATTTGTGTCGGTCTGGAGGGCATAGACAAACAATGCACCATATTTTGTTTATTTTGGGTTCTTTAAGATTAAGATTGAACATAGAACCTTCACTTTTTCATAGCCTGGTGTGCACTTCCAGGCTTTTCCTTCACCGAGGATACCTTTTCCACTAGCTGACTACAGCTGAATCAGAATATTAGTGAGCCTCCATCGCAATCCCTCTGTTCACCTTTACAACAGGCTACAGATAGCATATCTGCTCCCTGCAGACTGACAGACAGAGAGCCACTGTGAGAAGCAAATGCCCTTATCACTGCCTGCCATATGATGGGATTATCTTGAGTGTTGTCTAACAAAGCATTAATGAGCAGTTTTAATTGCCTGCACGGCATACCCTGCCAAACCCTGCCTGAACCACACACACACACACACACACACACACACACACACACACACACACACACACACACACACACACACACACATACACATACACATACACACACACACACACACACACACACACACACACACACACACACACACACACACACACACACACACACATACACAATGTGACTGAGAATATGGGATTGAAGACATTAATTGAACCTCCATTCACACTCTTACACAGTAAAGACTTTATTGAAATCAATAGATGTTTTGATTATCTTTTGGTGCCATATTACAGTGTGTCTCACTAACCACATGACTTAAGTACTTCTGTGACCTGAAGGTTGTTCAGAGTGCAGAGGGGAAATGTCTTCCAATTGATTTAACTTACAGTTTACAAAAACATTATTCTGAAATTCAATTCTGATGCTCGCATTGGAAGAATAAACGACAAAAGAATGGTGGCAACATGTCAATCTATGCCTAACTTTAAAGTAAGTATACATTAGAATACATTAAAGTACTTACTCCCGGACTGATCACATATACACCAGCCACGACACCAAATGATGTAGGGGGCGTAAAACAACTTTGGACCAAAGTGGTAGACTAAGCAAAAGACAAACAGATTTGCATTTGTATCCCTAGAGCCATGACACAAGCACAGCTAAATATGCTATCATTGTATAAACGTATTTCTCTCCAGGCACTATCCTACCCTTCAGTACCTTTCTCATGACAGCAATTTTACTTGTCACTTCAGGAGCTAAAGTCCAGGCCTGCAGAACCACTCGCCATGATACAAACATCCCTGAATGGTCAGGAGCCGCTACACATCACCAATCAAGCAAATAATTAAGCAGATGGACGCAAACTATGCTGCTGGTCTTACTGCAAAGCAAAGGAAGTCACAGCAGGTCTCTGAAACAGCACAGGCTGCACACTGACCCAGGGAAAAGGCCAAGAGTATACCACCCTGTTTCATTAACACAGGGTAATAGCATTAGTGAAAGGTTAAGAAAAAGTGCCTTAATGAAGTCTTTTGCATGGATCTGAGTATTGTTCTACGTAACAGCTTATGAAGATACAGGCAGACAAAAACAAAAGGAAGAAATATTGCAGCAAAGTAAAAATTGGGAAAGAGAAAAGCATCACCATCATAACAGTTACATATGTAATAGTGTTCAAACGGCGACAACCATTTCTAAATGAACAATTTTGCGTCAGATTGATATATGTGCAGGTAAGCAGCAGTTTGAGGCTTGAACCAAATGGTGTTCTTCAGATCCTCTCTGTGCTGTGGTGATGAATGGAGACAGGGAAGGCCTCTGTGACAAAACAGGGAGCGTGACTTCCAGCTGGAAACAGCTCCTTTCTCCTGGCACAAAAGGGTAAAGAGCCCCAAACAGAACTCAATGCTCATTGTCTTTGCTCTCGTTCTCCTCTTGCTTCGTCTCAACTGCCTCTTCCTCGTATATTTCTCTTCTCTTCTCTTCTCTTCTCTTCTCTTCTCTTCTCTTCTCTTCTCTTCTCTTCTCTTCTCTTCTCTTCTCTTCTCTCCATTGAACCTATATATCTCTTCCAGTCTGAGGGGTATTTTGCTACGCCACATTTATCACCAAATGTACCAAGAGCGCATCTCAGAGCTCAGAGGCAACCCCCTTTCCTCGAGGCATCTTCTCCTAGGCAGAGAAAACAAAATGGAACCAAACTATGAATAATATCCAGGAAATACATATTGCATGTGTGAAATATATACAGTAGTGTGTGAAAGGGTGGAGAGTTGGTCAAGCTTATTGCACAGTAAATTACATTTGAGTTTGGTGTCCCTCTTGTCATGAAAAACAGTGTTTTTGAGCCAATGTTGTAGGACTTTAAAATGAGAAGAAACAGGAGGTTTTTCTTCACTCTAA